TCTGCAAGCAACTACGCTGGGCTGGGCCCTGGCTCCCGCGTGCCGTGTCTCAGTTTAAAGCCCGATTAAGGGGGAAAATTCATCAGAATAGACCTGGGCGAGGAAAATTAGGTATCTGTAGCTTAAAGGGCACATGTAGCCATATTAAAATCCAATTTTTATCTGACACGTTTAAATCAATTTATAGGAAGGATTTACGTCAGTGGATTTTATTCACATGCTAGAGAAGTAATTTAAGATTTGTAACTTAATATTCCATAATTTAGTCATCATATTCATGTTTATCTTAAAAGACTTCTTGGTAGGTTTTTTTCTACTGGCACTAGAGACATGGGAATCTGTTTACTCACCAGGCAGTGCCCACCATTTGCTAAATCCGGGTGAGCATAGGAAATCACTACCACACGAGGAGTCAGGCCCCAGAACAAGGACCACTCTGAATCTCTGACTATGATGCCTGTCTCTGGACCACATGACAGAGCGAGTGTCTGGGAAGGCCGACAGCTCCTACTATCAAGTTCCTTCCAGTCAGGCCATAAACAGGTGTGTGGCAGCCAAGTTAAAGGTCCCCACCTAGTTCTGGACATAAGCATGAACGGTCTTCTACCTTTCTGGCCCTTGCCTGAACCTAGAGAATATACGGCAGTGTCCTCCTGTCAGGACCTTTTCTGTCTGGAATCTTCCCTGGTACAGAGTGGAGATTCTGTCTTCATGGCCTTTTCCAGCCAGGCTCACCCAAAGGAAAATGGAGTTAAAATATCAGCAAATCCATCCTGCTGAGGGACCTTGGAACACCCACATCCATTTACTTTAGCAACTCTATCATAGACTCTCTTTAAAACATAAGGAAATTTTGGATACATGGCTACATGTCTGTATACATAATATACATCTATGTACACATACACACACTATATACACTGTACATATATAGATATAAACACATGTACATTCATTCAGTCATACAAGCCTATAAATCTGTACACGCACAATGCCGCTGAAGGGACCCCAGGGCTGGACATGCGCAAGTGTGCGCTGGCAAGAGGCACACGTGGGGATGTCCAGAACCCTGTGTACAAAAGACCCAAACCCGCTACCTCGATTAGGGCTTGGCTTTACAAATTTACATCAAAGTTAAGACATTTTCAAAGAGCCGTACAATCTAGAGACTGGAAGTGGGATAAAGGAAGCATGTGGGCATCTGCCTGGCCTGCTCCAACCTTCCAGGGTCTAAAGGGCACTGCCTCCCTACCTCCCCCACCCCCCCACCCCCGGGGATAAAAGCGAATGTCAGAAGATGACACTTCATGGCCTACACTTAGAGATGAAATGTCATCTAGCTAGCCCCACTGCACATGAGGCCCTTTCCACCAGCAAGTGGGCAACAAACTTCTGGACTCTGATCTGATCAGGTCCTAGAACTTGGATTCATAGCCAAGGGCTGCTTGTCAGGCAGAGAGCAGGCTGGGGGCAAGACTACTGGAAATCACCCCAAAGGATTAGGATGCATTTTTCCCCCAGAATAAAAGCACTAGATATAGCCCTTCTAAATCGTAGCCTTCCTGCCACGGCCATCCCCCAAACAAGCAAAACAGCTAAGTAAATATGTACTATGGCTGCAACCATGCGCTCTAGCGATATGTGGCTGCCACGTCACGGAGCCCAAGAGTAGGTGCATCCATTGCGATCACCATGGCTGGTGGCAACTGCCTCAGAACAGAGTTCACATTTAATACTGAGAAGCTAGGAAACCATCCCTCTTGAGGGCATTTACATAACCTCTTACAAGTGACTATACCTGCAATGAAATATAAAAACCCAAACAACAAAAGAACCCCAAGAACAGCCTCATGGCAGAAGCTAGACAATAAATAATGGTAACCCCCCAATAGACACACATACAAATTTCAAATCAGAAGGCTGGAATAGCTTGGAAAGTATCATTTGCTTGAGTAATTTTTCTAAGTCTCTGCCTGTCCTGTTTTATGATTATACGTAATGACCTCCAGAATTTCAACATATAACTGTCTAGCATTATCTGAGATACTGCCGGAAAAGAGCCCATTTCATCAAGAAACAATGGTGTATATCACCACCTCCTTTAGCTGATAGACCTCTCCTCACAAGGGAAGAAGGGCCAGGTTAACAGAAGGGACATGTGCACAGGCTGTGTGACTAAGAACCTGCTCTTGGGCAGAGAGCTGGCATCACTTAACCAAATCTAGAGTTTCACCAACTACCAACGAGGGGTAAAAGCCTTGTGAAAGTTGAGCCTCAGTATTTGCTTGGGATCCCTTTAAAAAAGTCTGGACTTTGGGCTTCTCTTAAGCAATCTGACAAGATGGGATGGACCTGCTGTCCAAGGTGTGAAATGATTTGGGGCAGCAAGAAATCAGCTTGTGTGAACATGATCCTTAGGGAAAAGGCTACTTCAAAGTAAAGCCAAGAGGATCTGGGAAACTAATGAGTGTTCAAAGCCCAAAATGGTCCACTGCCATCAGCCATCACCAGTGAAGGGACTCAAGGGGCAAGACTAGGTCAAAATCAACAACCCTCCAAGCTGAACCGATTTTTGTCCAGGGCTACCTGGCCAGAGTGCAGCACTCACCCAAATGTTCCCTGTCTTCCTGCTGGTTTATCATCTTCTCTGCCCCAAAACTTTCAACAGTGCATCGCTGGGACCTCGGTCGAGGTCTTGGCTAAGCCATGCCGTTGTCTAAAGGCAAAGGTATCTACAAGCCGAATGGACACAGGACTTCCAGGGCCCACCCCTGGGAATGAGAGGTGGGCCTTTCCCCTAACATGGAGAACTCAGATCTGGGAGATGTGACACCGGTATTGCCACCGAATGGCTATGTGATCAACAGACGTGCTTATATTAAAAAATCGAACAGAAAACAGGCAACTTGCTGTGAAAGATGCATAAACGTGCTTGAAAATACCTTCTGCTAAAATCCTTCATGAGTAGAAATGAAACAGACCTGCCCTAACTCTACTGTCTTGGCTGTTTTTTTCTTAATTTTGAAATTTAAATCTCTTCAAAGTTAGAAACCAAAAATTTAAGCTGGCAAAATTAAATTCTTTCCATCATTTTATAACAGGCACCCCTATTATCTCCAAAATGTGTTTCCAAGTCATGAACTATAAATAATATAATTAAATCCAAACAGGAATTTAGAAGTTGGAGATACCATCCCCACTTAATTCCTACTAATGACTTTCACCAAGTGCTCCTAACACTTCAGAACAGAGAAGCCTATTTTGTCAAGAGCCAGTGGCTAGCTGGCTGGGCACCTACATAGCACAAGAGGCCCCACCCTGACTAGGGCCCAAGCCAGACCAGAGAGTGCCTGTGAGGCAGGGGAAGTGCACTGGGATCTTTCTGGATACCATCTGGTCAAAAGGTCCTGGGAGATGCAGATTTAACCTAATGCTGTATTTTCTTAATCTGGGCTGTACAAAAAGGAAACGGAGAGTACCTGATCTGGTCTTGGACATGCCACTTTCCCAAGCAGGAAATGCCCACCGTTTACTCATATCCATGGGAATTTATGCTCTTCTCTAGACAGAACTTCCTTATACTGCATTCTGCTCTTGTAAATGATGGTGGCTGTAACTTAGGACAAAGAAGATAACTTTGGGAGTTACGGGTTTTTTATAAGGAGCAGGTAGGCTGCTTCTGCATACATCACCCAAAATGCTCCAGGGTTCTTTGCTGGTACACACCTGGGGGGATCAAAGTGCATGGTGTGCCAGTAGCATTCAAAGATCTGCCAACAGAAATGCAGAGTCTGGAAACACTTTGAAAAACCCTGATATTCAAGGTCAACAGAGAAACCCTTCCATTCAGCCGTACCATCACCACTACCCTGGCACAGGGAGCAAAATCCTGCACCCCTCCCCGCTGAATCACCTCACAGTTCTGAGTGAACTGCAGGAATACAGACCCTTCTCAAGGGGGCGTTTGGAATGGAAACCCCTGAGAAGGGGACCTTCCTCCATCTGAACAATGAGCAACCGCCCCAGATTGCATTTAGGAATTACTGTCAGGTTCAAAATGCCCACCTTGCACTTTTTGGTCAGAAGGCTCTGTCTGCCGTGAGTGGTGGAGGTGATTTGGGGATGTTTTCACTTGCTGCAGGAATTGGCAGTTTATGTCTGACTGGTTGCAATCCAATTCTGAGAACCAGTCATCAAGAGAGCCCTAGGTTTGGAGGAGCCTGTAGATGCCAGTCACAGACCAGAACCAGAGGTCAGGGAACCTGACAAGCATCATCAACTCACCAGCTGAGGAAGCTTCCGGTTGGGGTCCCCACCGACTGCACTACCACACGCCCACTTACTGCATGATACACATGAGCCACATTCTCAATCGTTCATAGGAATTTAGTTCAACACCACTAATGTGTGCATACAATTAGGAATGATGCCATCTTTTCTTAAACATAAATGATTGTCTCCTGTACCCTATTGCGTTTTCACAGAAATCATTAGCATTTCGGCAAAAGACATACACAGTTTTCCATTTGTCCTGCCCACAGGCAAGATGTTGCTAACATACGCATTGATAAGAAGTGCTTAGAAAGTGCTAATATTATTTACCCTGGTAATTAGTAGCTATTAATTCCAAGGAAAATTTTAATATATATACACACATACTGTTTTCTTAGGTTCGTTTAGTTTTGTTTAATACTAGTCTCTGACATTATAAAACTCTTTGTTTTTTGCCCTTTGAGAATCGCTAAATACAAATTAGGTTAAAAGATTGTTCCAAAATCTGCTTCATCAAAAGGCATTAAAACATTTCTTATGGCAGGAAAGGATCCTACTAGTCTTTTAGTTGCTATTGTTTGGGATTAACAGGTAAGAAGAAACCAGGTAGGAAATGGCTAACATACTGGAAATATTTGCACATACCAAAATACCACTACTTTATTTTCTCTGTTATCTGAGCGGTCCTGGGAGGATCCTTCTGCTTCTCGGCAGGCGTGTGGTGCACACTATAGACTGGCTCCGGTGATCTGGCCGTTATACTCTGCTGTCTCCATCTTGAGGATGTAGGGGATTATGCTGTCTATTGAAACATTGCCAATGAGACCAGTAAAAAAAAGTTCTTCTGTTATGTTTGAGCTCATCAGCCTGAGTGCTGGCAGGCGAACGAGAATCCGGGCCAATCTGTAAAAGGGAGGCTCATTAGAGAAAGGGAGTTCACTGCCCTTCAGACTTCTCCCTGGACAGGCTCCCAGGGACCCTCTCCGCACTGCTTGGAATTGAAACAAACAAATAGACCCATGACCTACCCCTTGTATTTCAAATTTCAACAGTTCCTCTTGTAGGGATTTATCATGAGAGAAAATCAAAACCAAGTACAAAGATGTATGTACAAATGTTTCCTTCATTTATAACAATTCTCCCCACCTCCACCAAAAGAGAAAAATTTGGAAATCAATAAAGGATGGGTTAAATTATGGTATCTCCATATAAAAGAGCACACTGTATATTCAGCAAAAAGTATAAAAAAGATATATATTCACTGATGGTACGTCTGTGATGTACAGCCGAGTAAAAACCTAAAAGGAGACCGGGAAGCAGCAAGTGTAACACAATCTCATTTGTGTAAATTTATTTGTGTGGCATGTATAAAAAAGTATTTGGAAGGATGTTCCCCAAAATGTTCACCAAAACTCTGATCTCTGGGTTTGGGGATCTGGAATGCTTTTACTTATTAAACCTTTGTCTGTATTACTCTAGTGTTCACATAGCATCCTAATTAAAAAATGAAGCAATAAAATTGTTTTCATTTTGAAAACACCCTGGGTGGGAGGACACATCATGACCCCGTTCTGATGGCTCTCTGGACACTGTATCTGAAGCATCCCACATGATTGGCCATTCCACAGACACTGTACAAAGCTACGTGTGCAAGGATGCTCACTGTGTGCCAGCCTAGTCTGGAAACAACCTATATTTTCATTAGCAGGAAAGTTCTAAAGAAATGACAGCATCTCCTCAGCCACAGAAAATGCAGAAGTATGCTTGTTGAACATTACATGAAGAAAGGGTTACAAAACCTTACTTTGGATTTTATGATTCCAGTTACACAGACATAAAAAATTTCTGGAAGGAAATGCATAAAACGTTAACTATGGATAGTGCTATTTACAGGAACTGAAAAGCTTTCATTTTACTTTCCAGAATGTTCTAATTTCTTTCCTACAGTGAACACTGTTATTTTTAAAAAGAGAAAATACAGATTATGCAAGCGGCATTCCAGTATCATCGTCCATTCGCCCAGCCACCATGAGTCTTGCAGGGCACACAAAGATGTAAGGGGACACCACCACAGACCAGAAGGGGCAGACAGGATGAAGGATCTTGGAAACTCAGCAAGGGTCAATCAAGGAGGACTTCTTGGGATGGGGGGGCGGGACAGGTCAGCTGGGCCTTAGAGGCTGGCTGAGGTTTCTCTCAGCAGAGATATAAACAATGGGGAGGGATAGAAGGGTTATTTCAGGAGGAGCAGACAGTATGAGAAAAGGCATAAAATGGGAAAGACTACAACAATGCAGAAACGGGTGTCAACCGTCCTAGGGCTTTTGGGGGAACTGTCTTTGAGTGAGTTTCTGAGTCCTATCCTATGAGAAAGCCTCCCTTATCTCATTTTTGGTTCCAAATCACTTTTCTTACCATGCCCTTTATCTATCCCTAGGTCCCTCACTAGATTTTTGTAGAAACACCTACTTTCAAAGGCCAGAGAGCTGCTGTTGTCAAGATGACTCTAGTGTGCTGTGTGGTTCTGTTAGCAGTCCCTACAGGGGCATTTCCAGTCTCTTCTGACCACGGACACCGTGTGGGAGTAGGCCCATGGCTACCTCTGGGGACAGCTTGCCTGCGTACCTGGCTGGGTTGGATGAGCTCTGGGTATGGGTGGCAGAGCTCCCATTGGCAGTCCCATTCTATATGTATTGAGGCTGTAATCACTTGAGACTCATGGTGAGGTTTTCATAGATTCCAGTCAAAATGGATCCTGCTCTGGCAAAAGCTATGCTTGGGCCATGGAGGTGTGCCTAAAGCAGAGGAGGTTCTCTCCCAGCAGGGCCAGCTACAGGTCTGCCAATCACACCACAGAAATGGGTCCCTGGGGCCTGGCATTCTCATTCTGTGGGGCATCTTTGGATTGAGGTCTGTGAAGGGGACACACATGGAGAGAAGTGGGGCCGTGTATCTTATGGGTCAATTTTGCTCCAGTGTTTATTTTGAGAGGACAGGGCGGGGAAGGGAATATTAAATAGTTTGCCTGACATGACCTTAGTAATTCATGGAGTTTCCAGTGGGTTGGAAGTGGTCATGGGGAAAGAGCTCCTCCACTCCTTGGCTGGAAAGCCTGCCAGGCATCCTGCCCTATTTCAGAACTTTCCTGTTTCAGTTTTGCATGACAAAAGCTCACATGTATATCTAGGAGTATATGTGTATATACATGTATTTGCTGCCCAATCATTACAAATAATACAAACTAACTTTTTTACCTAAAAAATGGGAGTTCAAAAAAAATCAGTTTATCTGACGGCAAAATTACTATTTTCTATAACCCACTCACTCCTTTGTAGAGGTCGGGGTCGGTTTCTGTCAACAAAAACTTTGCTATCACGTACGCTAGCTTGGCCTCTTCAGTGGACGCAGACCACGGGGGCACAGCTGCTCTTCTGGACAAAGGGAATCTCCGTGAGAACTACCGTCTGTGCACGATGTGAGCCTCGGAGGGAATTACACAGCAACAATTCCAAACCCTCATGTTACAGAAGAACCACCCAAGGTTCCACCTGCAGTTTACCCAGCAAACACTGGAATGGTCCAGTATTCCTGCCCCTCCCACCTAGCACTTTCCACACACTGTTACCATCCATGAAATGCAAGAACTAAAGTGTGATCAAAAGGAGGCTTCACCGGGCTGCCAGACGTGGAAAGGCTGACAATTTATATTTGTGACTACAGATCCAGCTGCACCCCCTCCTGCCCCACAGCAAGAGTGTGTATCTTTGCGCCTCACCGGTATGTGTCTTCCGAATAGGTTTTCTGAACGTAGTCCTGCAATTCCATCTGTGCCTTTTCTTGGAATTTTTCAATCTGGCTTGTGCTGGTCAAACCTGGATGGTCTAAAAAGAGAAAAGTACCCCTGAATTGCCTTGTGTATTCTGAAAGCCTCGCTTGCAGACTTCTTAGTATTTTTAATTAAGCCTCTGGCAAATTTCTCAAGTACAATGTAGATTGAACTCTGAAGGTGGATCTGGTTTGGATATTACTGTTAAAACATTAGTTTTTGCTCTATGCTCTGCCAAGGCCTGAGGGTTCCCGGGAGAGGGCTGGGCTCCTGAGTGGTCACACCAGCCTCACCAGCCCCACCTGGCTTGGTTTGGACATCTGGCTTGGAACTATCACATGAGATTAGAAATTATCATTTACTTTCTATGTATTTAATACATAATTTCTCCCATTTTTATTAGCTACTTTGTTGTTCATGAGTGGATGGCTGGGGAAGAAGGGAGGGACTTAGCGGTGTCCAACCCTGCTATCGAGTTCAGCAGTCAGCCTGAGTGACCTCTGGAGGCTCCGAGACAACAGCCGAGAGGGGGGCAGCGAGGCCAGCCGGACAGTCCTGCTGCCTCTTCTTCAGCTGCTGCTACTGTCCTCCAGGAACAGGTAAACTTGTGCAGTTTCAGTCTGTACTGGAGGACATATGCTAATATAAACTAAAAATTGGCAAAAAGGAAAGCAAAACAAATCAAAACGAACAAAAAAGGACATTGGACAGTAGTATACTACTCTGTTTTGTATGCTGAAGTCTTGTTTGGCCAATGGTTTAAATTAGGATACAGAATAGATCTATTCAACATATGAAGTCAAAACATCTGGAAGGCACTATGGCATATGTCTTTGGGACTGTAAAAACAATTTAAAAGAACGTTATGTGTTTATGTTAGCTAGCAAAGCACACCTTTTAGGAGAACATTCTGTCACATACAATCTGGCAGGGCTCTCTCTACATGGCTGACAGCGTGACAACACGTTCATGTTCAGAAATATCAGTAGACATAGGCGGAAAACTGTTGTGAGTCACCACCACATATCTTACCGGGGCTAAAGAGAACTATAGCTTTAAGGTATGCATACTCATAGCCGTCTATATCCAGCTTCGCCATACTGTTACAGAATTCCTGAAGCTTCCAGATGTGCTCCATGACTTGCTTTATCCGGTCTCCAGAAAGTTTATCTACAAATCAACATCACAGATCCTCTGAGAAAGGCTGGTAAGAATAACAACACAAGCTTCTTTGAGGAGCCACAAAGAGAAGAGAAAATAATTTCACTTTTTAATGGAAAACCATTTACCTTAAGATGGTTAACAGCCTCAGTTTCCAGGTGAAGGAGAAGTGACAATAGGTACCCAAATTCCACTCTGCTATGTATGCTGTCTCAGTAATAATCCCCCAGACCAGCGATTCTCCCTGGCCCCACGTTGGGCAGCAACTTTGGCCTATAGGCACAAACTCCTTTTATTCTGTGCTTAAGACCTATAAGTCAATTCTTTTTTTTTTTTTTTTTTCAACGTTTATTTATTTTTGGGACAGAGAGAGACAGAGCATGAAGGGGGGAGGGGCAGAGAGACAGGGAGACACAGAATCGGAAACAGGCTCCAGGCTCTGAGCCATCAGCCCAGAGCCTGACGCGGGGCTCGAACTCACGGACCGCGAGATCGTGACCTGGCTGAAGTCGGACGTTTAACTGACTGTGCCACCCAGGCGCCCCAGGACCTATAAGTCAATTCTTAACAGTGGTCAGATTTTCTAAGTCTCTGCAGGCATTTAATAAATGTTTACGGATATGACCATTAAATGTCGACATTTTTTAGTTGTGGAAACAATTTTGTGTGTTTTCCGATTTAATCTTCATGGTAGTATTTGCTGAAGGTATTAGTATTATTACACTCAGTTAAAAATAAAGGAAACCAATCCTCATTTGTGAACAAATCTAACTTAAAATCAACAAAATGTTACAGGGTTAAAAAAAAAAAAAAATCAGCTTTACGTTACTAGTCCAAAGGAGTAACTAGAAAAACAAAGGTGTGACTAGGTAACTCGAATTCCTAGATAATCAAACATCTGGAATGCCTAATGAAAATTGCAGCTCAACTGCAATTCAGTATCACGTGTAGATTTTTAGTGTCAGTGCTGAATCCTAGGCGTGCTCCCTCAAGACTATGTCTTTGATACTATGGACTTCCGGCAGGCAGAGGGCTATCTGCACTGGCTATCTCCTGTCCTGACATGGCTGGGATCTGACCACCAAATATTAGGTAGTTGCCACAAATCTTTCTGGAAGAGAGTCACCTTCGCTCGTGAGCAGCAGCTGGGTATGCAACTGTGTCCTGGACTAGGGGGTCTGCACGACCCTTGTCTGTGCCTGGCTCTTCTGCTTGCTGTTTCACTTGGGGCAATCCAGGGACCTTACTGCGATAATAGTCTCTCTAGGATTGTGAGAATTTGTTATATGGGAAAGGGTAACCTGTTACGAGATAATAAAAAAATCTGTCTGTTGGTCTCTGCCCCCAGTTTCTGGCACAGAGCTCCTGAAACCCTTGTTAATTTCTAAGTGATAAGAGCACTACCACGACATCTTATTCTAATATTTGTCTTTGACCCTGTTCCTGACAAAGAGCTCCTAAAACCCTTGTAAGCTCCTATGTGTTAAGAGCACTAGGATTCATCTTTTGAGGTGAATCTATGGGGCCTGGCCCCTGGAAAGACTAAGGCATGCCGAGAAACTTGGAATTTCCAGCCCCGTCCCTCATCCTCCAGAGTGGGGAGAGGAGCTAGACACGGAGTTAATAATTGATCATGCCCACATAAGGAAGGAAGTCTCCATCATAAAATCCCAATAGTATGGGGTTCAGAAAGCTTCCAAGTTGGTGAACACACGCACACCAGAGGGTGAAGTACCCCAAGTCCACGGGGACAGAAACTCCTGCACTTGAGATTCTCTCAGACCTCACCCTATGTATCTCTTCATCTGGCTGTTCATCTGTATCCTTTATCATATCCTTTTAAAAAGTGGTGAACTTAAGTGTCTCCTCAAGTTCTGTGAGCGACGCTAGTGAATGAATCCAACTTGAGGGCTGCTGCAACCTCTGATCTACAGCAGGTTGGTCAGAAGCACAGGTGATAGCCTGGACTTGTGTGTGTGTTTTGGGGACAGGGTCTTATGGGACTGAGCCCTTAACACCCGTGGGATCTGACGCTATCTCTGGGTAGACAGTGTCAGAATTGAATTAAATTGTAAGACACCCACCTGGTGTCACAGGGAATTGCCTGTTGTGGGGAAACACCTCCACACATTGGTGACTACAAGTTCCAGAACTGAAGTGCTTGGGGAGTCTGGGTGGATCAGTTGGTAAAGTGTCCAACTTCTGATTTTGGCGCAGGTCATGATCTCATGGTCGTGAGATTGAGCCCTGCATCGGGCTTCTCACTAAGCATGGAGCCTGTTTGAGATTTACTCTCTTTCCCCCTCTGCCCCTCTCCCCCGTGTTCTCGTGCTCTTTCTCTCTCTCAAAAAAAAAAAAAAAGTGTTCTGTGTGAGTAGTAAAGGAGACATGCAGGGAAGAGAAGCACAGTAGGGAAAAACTGGGTTTTTCTTTCACCCCACAGGTGAAAAACTAGTTTTTTTCCATGTATGCCTGCCAATCAAGATGGAAATGTAAGATTATGCTGGAAACATCACCAAATGCCTACGTATCAGGAAGTTGGCAATTTCTTCAATTATCTTTTTTTCGCCTTTCATATGCCTTATAAGATGACAGATGGGTGGAAATTTAAATGTTCTCACTGGTAAAGGTCCTAGGACTTAAATGTCAAACTACCTTCAGCCTGTGGATGCTGTGGGGACACTGAGGCTGGCCAGTTTGCAAGGAGTCAGCCTGAAACGAGATGCAATCCCCCACAGCCCAGACCAGCCCTACCTTCCTGGATGCTGTTCTGCAGGTGGTTGACAATGGCCGCCAGGATAGTGGAGAGACTCATGACCTGGGCACACTGGGCGAGGCCGAGGGTGAAGAGCTCGTTCCAGCAGGCCCGCACCAGGCTGGTGTTGCAGTCCTGCCTGGGGACAGAGGTCAGAGTGGGTGTGGGTACATGCTGGCATTCTCCAGGGCCCAGTTTGCCCCAAACAAGTCGATTCAGCAAGTGTTTCTTGAAGGTCTATGGTATGTTCAGGACCATTCTCTGAAAACACCACTGTCTGTGTGAATCTCTTAACTAAAGTCCCTCTGAGGATAAACTATTCTCTTAACAAACTCTTTAGACTTCAGTAATGAGAAATCTGAATGGGTATGACTAAACTGGCATCTCCTACAGCCTTCTAAACTCACAGTGGCCCTGACATGGCTGTCAGAAGAGGCTGCAGTGATCCAAGGGCTAAGAGCTAAGGGGGTGGGAGACACACCCTGCAGACAGAGAACAGAGGGTCTGCAAACCCTGCAGGGGAGAAGCTGGCACTGGAGACAGGAAGAGGCCAGCCACGCCAGCCTTCAGCCCTGTCTTGGATGATGATTTATACTCAGGACAGCATGGCTACCATGCTGCAAACAGTATGACCCTATCTGAGGAGCTCCTGCTACTTGTCTCAACATTTCAGGATGACTCCTGCCTTTTGCTCCACTCCATCCCTGGCTCCCAGCACCAAGTCCTTGGCATATGGAGAAGACTGATAAAAGTTTGAGTAACACCGAAATAGTGGCAACCATGGACCTCGGCTACCAGTCCACTTAGTATGTTTAATAAGAAAATCAGGGTCACTTGAATGAGATCACAGGAACAAACTAGAATGGCCCTCAGATATCTTCTGGGCCACTCCTAATGAGGGGAGGGCTCTTGCTGAAAGATATGCACAGAGAGAAAAGGCCACTTACCCAAGTGCCTGAAAAGCTGGGATTGACCTGGCCCAGTGCATGGAGAGGAAAAGCAGGCGGGACGCTGACTCGCAGATGTAGTGCACGTTGAGGTACTCTGGCATTGGGCTGGGCATGGTGAGCTGGAGAAGAAGAGGCACACAGCACAGGAGGTGACAGAGAGACAGGTCAACATGAATCCCTGTCACGTTTCAACAACTGTGACACTTGAGTTGTGATAATCTCTAATGCTGAAGCTCCTGTGCAGACCCATCCTTATGAAACCTGTGTCCTCTGCGGTGGGGGGCTGGCACCAACACCCTGTGGTCTCTTGCCCAATGAACTCGGGCCTGATGGCCCTCAGAATGTGGTCAATGATGGTGACCTCCCAGCTCAATCACACAAAGACATACTTTTCAGCTTTTGCCTCAACTAAATTGCTATTTGTTCTAAAGCAATTCCATTTTGAGCTGGAGGTTAAAATCTAAATTGAATCTGGGAACAGGGGTCAACTTCATAGCTAGTGGGCATTTGGTAGGTGGCCTCAGGGTAACAGTGAGTGAGAGCTGAAAAGAAACCCATATGGTGGGAGGACGAGATCCCATCATCAGAATGCTCAGGCCTGGGCTCCAGAGCTCCACTGTCCAGAAGAGGCATTAATGCCTTTGATGCTGGAATCCCACTGGTGACCTATATTCTTGGCACCAGTGGGCAACTATGAGCAGGGACCCAGTCTTCCTAAGTGACTGGTCAGGCCTCTCTAGTCAAGAGCACTCGGGGATAGGAAGACACGGTCTGTAGCCCTAGAAACTGAGGAGTGTCTTTTGGAAGCAAGGCCATGGAGAAGCCTGTGGGGAAGACTAATAGCTCTTCAAAGTTCTGTGGCTAGCGATGGCAAGCGGTCAGGACCAGCGGCTAGGAATGAGGGCTGGCTGCCTGCACGCTGAAGCAGACAAAGGTGCCTGACTGAGCCTGTGCTGGAGCTAGGCCATCCTAGAAAAGGCAGAGCAGTCCATTAAAAACCCTCGAGGGTCAGCACCTTGTCAACCCCTCTTGGCAAGGACAGGCCACACCTGCTTCAGGGCAAGTTACCTTGAAAGCCAAATGAGCAAAACGGAGTGAAAATGCTTTTTAATGAGAATACTGTTCTGGAACACCAGGTCTGGATCAAAAGCCACAACATGAAAATGAGCTTGCTACAAGATTTTGGTTTTACACTGCAGGCTGGGAGGCTGGGGCATGTGGGTAGGCTGAATGCACTCACCTTAAATGTGACATGAGTATCTGAAAGGAGGGGCCCTTCGACCTCGATGATGGGTGTGGACTGGTCTCTGCTGATGACGTGGATGCCGCCTCCTCCACTGGCATCTATGCCGTCTGCTAGGCTCGGAGGTGAGGAGCTGTCTGTGGTATTAAGTGCTTTAGCTAAGGTATCAAATGCCCTGTGAGCAAAAATGAAGCAGTCAGTGGTGTGAATCCACAGCTTTTAGGAGGAACAGAACTCTAGCTGAGACATAATCTAGAAAAACCATGCAATGGGGAAAAGATCATTAAATTCTACCTGCTGGGGGAAGGGATGACAATGAAAGTTTCTGTGTACAGTCCATACATCATCATGGGCACTAAGCTATATATTATTTATTTTAACACATAATTTCTATTTTTCACACTACTCTCTAAGGTAGAACCCTCCCCATTTTATAGATGTGAAAGCTGAGGCCTGGAGATGTTACATAACTCATCTAAGACCAACCACCCAGTAAATGGTGGAAACAGAATTCTATCCAACTCGAATCCCGTCCTCTTTGCTATCAGACTGCAAGAGATCATGAGGCCCGGGGCACTTGTGTGGCCTCCAGCTGTACATCTGCCCAGCCTGGCAAGACAGGCAGGGGTGACCAGTCCCACAGGAAAGGAGCAAACACGAGAGCCTATGGAGAAGAAACACTCTGCAGCCGGTTACGGATGTCCAGGGCCAGCTAATGCTAGTAGCTAACACCCTGATGGACTTAAGCTTTAGACTATTTGGAAAAATAGGCTAAAACAGAAGTGGGAAAGGGGATGAACTATTAATATTTACTCAAAATAACTAATGCAAGGAACACCTGTCTATTGAAGGGTTTTCCCTGCTTCCACTCAGTCACTCCATTTCCTTTTTCATTGTTTGGAATGAAAAGCAACTTTGATTGTTTTATATCATGTAATATAAACGAATCCTGGTTCCCACAGTTAAAATGTGAAGGAAGACAGATGTGCAGGGACACTGTGACTTTACCATCCTTGATTAAATACAGGGTGGGTGTCAAAATGCTGCCGCCAGCCCTCACAAAACAGCAGCTAAGTGTGCACACTGGGCAGAGCCTCCACCCTCATGGGATCATACCGAGTAATCTCACTTGCGGACTGGTCCTCCGGCTGCATTTCCGAAGCGTCACCATTGTTAAGGGACTCACTCAAGTTGGCAAGGGAGGTTACTACATTTGCCAGTGTGCCCAGAGCTCCCTGGCTTGTTTCTGCCTATTATTAAACAAAAAACAAGAACATTAAAGATGAACACAAACACACACATAAAAGACTCTCAGGCCAATGAAGGTATAATGGTAGTTTAAAAACAGCATCTATGGGGTGTGAGCTCAGCATGGCAGCAGGAGGGAAAACTTTTGGTGAGGGGAGAGTCCGGTATCTTGACTGCAATGGTGGTTACACAAATATACATATAATAAGGTAACAGAAAACAGACAAATTAGACACTGCCAAAATTTAAACTTCTGTGCTTCAAAAGATATTAAGAAAGTAAATGGGGTGCCTAGCTGGCTCAGCTGGTGAAGCATTGGCTCCTGACCTTGGAGTTGTGAGTTCGAGCCCAACGGTGGGTGTACAGATTACTTAAAAATAAAAGTTTAAAAAAAGAAAAAAGTTATTAGGAAAGTAAAAAGAAACCCTGCCCTTCCACACACAAAAGACAACCCAGAGAATGGGAGGAAATATTTGCAAAACACACATCTTACAACGGTTTAGTAACCAGAATATCTAAAGAACTCTTTCAAGTCAAAAATAAAAAGATAAAGCAGTCAGTTAAAAAAAAAAAATGAGCCAAGGATTTAGATATTTCTTAGAAGAGGACACACATGGCCAATAAGCACATGAAAAGATGCTCAACATCACTGGAAATGCAAATCAAAACCACAATGAGATACCACCTCACACCCAACAGGATGTTTATAATAAAAAAGACAGGTAATAACAGGTGCTGGGGAGGATGTGGAGAAACTGGACCCTCATACATTGCTGGTGGGAATGTAAAATGGTGCAGCCACTGTAGAAAAGTCTGGCACTTCCTCACAAAGTTTAAATACAGAGTTACCATATGACCAGCAATTCCACTCCCTAGTTATACACATGAGAAATTAAAACATACGTCCACACACACAAAATTACCCAAATGTTCGTAGCATATTTGTCTATTCATAATAGACAAAAAGTAGGAACAACTCAAATGTTCGTCAGCTGAATGTAATGGATATGTAAAATGTGGTTTAGTCATTCAAGGGCTTATTAATTGGCAATAAAAAGGAACGAAGTGCTTGCTGACACACGCCACAACATGGATGAACCTTGAAAACGTTACGCCAAGAGAAAGAAGCCAGTCTCAGAAGGCAAAATATTGTATGTTTCCATTTATATCAGAAAAGTAGAGTATAGTCAGAAAGTACAGTAGCAGTTGGTAGGGTAGGAGAAGTGACTGCTTAATGGGTGCAGGGTTTCTTTTGGGGTGATGAAAATATTCTGGAATTGGGTAGTGGTGATGGCTGTACAACCTTGTGAAAGTACTAGAACCACTGCACTGTAACACTAAAAGGATAAATCTTCAGGTATGTGAATTTTATCTCGAATAAACAAAAAAAGAAAACCAGACATATTTGAACAAATAAATCAAGGTATGTATAAACAGGGGTGCCTGGGTGCCTCAGTCGGTAAAGCATCTGACTTCCGCTCAGGTCATGATCTCGCGGTTTGCGAGTTCAAGCCCCGCGTCGGGCTCTGTGCTGACAACTCAGAGCCTGGAGCCTGCTTCAGATTCTGTGTCTCCCCCTCTCTCTGCCCCTCCCATGCTCATGTTCTGTCTGTCTCTGTCTCTCAATAATAAATAAATGTTAAAAAAAAAAAATGTATAAACAAATGTTTGTTGTATCTGGTTAGAGAAGTGAAAAACCAGAACAGCAGAAAAGATCATAAGCAGAGAACTGACTAACAAATCACCGAACAACCATATAACAGAAGGTTGTGCAGCTGTTAAATGATGCAGGTTGTCATGACAGAAAGATGTGTTGAAGAGAAAGAAAGCTTAAGTGAAAAAAGAAAAAGATCACTCCCCACACACTGTACCGGTGCTGCGTCCTGGTTCTGATACCATCTTGCAGTCTTGCCAGATAAACTGCTGGGAGCAACTGAGTAAAGGGTACAGGGGAGCTCTGCAGCATCTTTGTGCTTGCTCAAGGTATGTTATTTTGAATTTTAATCTTTCAAAGTGGAAGGTTTAGAAAACAGATTCTGAAAATAGCTCCCTTTAGGTGCTTTGTATATATTCCGTTATTCATGAAAAACTTCCACACCACAGAGGAAGGAATAGGTAGGAGCACACGTCTGACTCTGCAGCTCTTTCTCTTAACTGCTACTTAAATACCACAGTTTGTGTCCTTTCTCTTCCATCCAATGACCATAACTAGCTCCTCATTTACTGAGTGTCACTGCATGCTGTGTGCTTTATAAAACGAACTCAAGTTTCCCAGCACCCCTGTGTCGGGGGTACTGAAGGAAGCAGAGATGTAGGAAAGAGGGCACATGGCTCCCAAGAGCGGTGCTGGGCTCCCAAGATAGCAGACTCTGGAGTCTCTTGGTTCTTATTCTCAGTCTCTGCATGGATGGCACCATGGAACAGCTGCTGTGAAATCCCTTGGTAATCAGGTTTTAAGGTTATTTGGGCCTTACTTTCAGGCTTCTGGTTTCTCTCTACCCCACTATACATCAATCACTGTCCTGAATGGCTACTGGGTGACAGCAGCAAACTGGGTGTGATTCCCATATCACATACATCACCAGTGCCCAAAGACAGGAAGCTCAAAGCCTGGCATAAGGGCCAGAGGATGGAAAGCTGCTGTTGGTGCCAGTCAGCAGCTCTCACTGTTGCCTTTTCTTTCTCAAAAAAGGATGTTCCTAACGTGCTGAGTGGGCCCAGTGAGGTGCACGTGAATAGATGAGAAGGAAGCCTTGCAGGTAGCGTGGCTCTGGCTCTCAGGGCAGTAGCCATGTCAGCACTGTTACGAAGTCGCTCCTTTTAGAGAAGAAAAACCGGACTTCAGCCATGGCGTGCTACTTCATCATCACTGGGTTATATTTCTCATCTCATAGTTTCTGATGTAATCAGTTTCCTTGCCTGGATAAAACCTTTTTCCTAAGTTATCTTCACAGGGTTTAGCCAGCTCTCTCTCTCCTGGAATGACAAACACCTCTGTTCACAACAAGTTAAATTCCATATGGCTGATTTGCTCTTAGTTTTACAATTGTCAGAATCCTGCCTGAACTTCCTCCTGCAGGTCATCTAATAAAAAGGAAGGGGGTGGGTGTGAATAATTTAACAGTGTGTCAACTTCAACCAAAAAAAAAAAAAAAAAAAAAAAAAAAAAAAAAAAAAAAAAAAAAAGGAACTAGCAGCTTCTGCCAAAGGCCATCTTAGAATAAGCAGCCATTTCCCTAGCATACCAGTAGATTGCCAATGTGTGTACTGAGGTGGGGGGTGGTGGGGTGGTTAACTCATTTGAGAGCCACTGAATTCTCACCAAACTGAACTCTAGATCCTGACATGTTACAGTGACTATAACCAGCCAGTCCTGAGTTTCCAAAAAGTCCTCAACATCCCTAAAATAAATCACAGATGGCTGTATAAGAAGTGAGGTGAGATGCAGAAGGCCATGCTTTCGAGGTTGTCTCGGAAGGCCAAGATGGTGGGTGCACAATTCCGAGAAGCAGTCTGCACGGCAACAGAAAGATGGAGAGTAAGGCATAAGTAGAGAACATCACCTTGGAATCCGTGGCCAGGAGAACCGTACCATCCTCGCGTATCAAAGGCTGTTGGATGTTCACAAGCATCCCTGGATCAAGAAGACCTGTTTGTCTATTTAAGACATAAAGAAACCCAGAGTAGCTTCCAACATTTAATGCACAGTATGATCATGCTGCATTGCTCTGTCCCTTCCACATCTGCAAAGCTGTCTGAAGAGCACAAAAGCTCTAACTGGACTCAGCCACTGAGTGACTAACAACCCCCCTTCTCTCTGCAACGAGATACACACAGAGCTGGGCCTACAGCCTGAAACAGGATGCCACACAGACACATGTCTCCCCGCTCCCACCCCTGCTCCCCCAAGCTTCCATGCTGACCACAGACGGTGACTGCTCTTTTAAATAAAGTTAACTTGATCTTCAGAATATCACCAAGGAATTCTCAACTCTAGTTCTTGCTAGGATAGAGTTTGGATTTCTTATTTTTCTTTTCTGTTCTTTTTCAATTAAGTTCAACAGATTACATGAAAGCAAAAAGACATATAAGTTAACTTGTGGCACTATTTGAGACTACCTGAGGACTTAGGCCTTTTGTCTATACTGCAGAAAAACTCCATCTTGAATTGAAGAGCAACTGTTTTCCTGTATGAATAACCACAGGACATAACCTGAGCCCCTGATGCAGGAGAAATTCTGACCCCATCTTAAATTAGCCATCCTCAGGCCTATCCACAGGTATGACTGGAACACCTCCAAAAAGGGTAGGGTGGGGCAAGACAAGGCTGAAGGCTGTGGCAGCATGCAGGGAGCCAAGTAAGCACCCTCCAAGGGACAGCTCAAAGGCTGATAGCAGTGTGACCCTTTACCAAAACAGGGACTGACCTTGCTCCATCTTTATCTGCCACAAACGTGGGAGTGGCTATCAGAGGACTTCTCAGGTCCTTCCGGATATAGATTTTCTCAGTTGAAGCAGCACAATTGCTTGGTTTCTCCCGTTGTACATCAAAGGGCTTCCGTTCACTCTGTACAGCTTAAATCACAACATAAATATTCACATTTAGAGGAAAGAGTCAAGTTATTAAAAACTACATCTTTCCAGGCAGCTGGGTGGCTCAGTCGGTTGAGTGTCTGACTTTGACTCAGGTCATGATCTCATGGTTTTTGAGTTCAAGCCCCGTATTAGGCTCTGTGCTGACACAGCTCAGAGCCTGGAGCCTGCTTCGGATTCTGTCTCCCTCTCTCTTTGCCTCTCCCCCACTTTGAACTACATCTTTCAAAGTAAATTTAGGGGTTTTCCTTAGTAAGTTTGTTACTACAGGGATGATAGGTTCTGGTGCTAGACACATCTAACTCCATTTTCACAGTGGACTTTTCAGCCAAAGAGGTGAAAAACTCAAAGCCAAACGATACGGTGTTAAATCCAAAGGGCTAAAGAGGGTAAGCACTGCCTGCTAAGACAGTTGAGCACGGCATTTGTATGGCCTTGTGGGGGGCCCACCCTGAGGACTCTGGCTTTTCTCTGCCTGCTGCTAACAAAAGGCACTCTCTGGAAGAGAAACACCCATCTTCAAGTTGGTCCTTAACAGAAATCTTGTCTAACGCACGTGTCAGAGAGGAAGCATTCCAATGTCCAACTCAAGCCTGCACAGCTTCTGCAAACTGTTTAATGGGGTGTTAGTTTTCTACAACACTAGCAGTCTCTCCCTTTAGCAATCTGGCCTAAAAGGAGTATACAGGCCAGAAAGAAATGAAGAAAATAAAAACCTTTTTAACAGAAAGAAAGGATGAACCCCAGATCCAATATGTAAGTAAGAGGGTCCCATTTCACAGATGAGGACCCTGAGGCTGAAAGCAGTGACATGTCTTCCCCAGTCCCCACAGCTCCTAAGTGACAGAGCTGGGGTTTGATACTCCACAGCCTGTGTTTACCCCACTGCCCTGTGCTGCATCCCGATTTATCTGGAGGTTTCCAAATACTCCACGGGAAATGACCAATCCCAGCAGCATCAGTGCTGGAACACCTAGCTGACCCAGAAGGGAAATAAAGTGAAGCCTCGGTGGATATTTTTCTCTTAGAGTATTTTAAAGCCAGGTAGAGAAACTTCACTTTCTCTCAACTTGCTAACTCAGGCGGCTTCTTCTTATTGTTACTCACATTCCATTTTCATGCCCATCTCTAAGCATTTTTTCAGCCGGCAAAACTGACAGCGGTTCCGGTGATGTTTATTGATGATGCAGTCTTGGTTGCTCCGGCAGCTGTAGGTCAGGTTTTTCCTTACGCTCCTTTTGAAGAAACCTTTGCAACCTTCACAACTGACAGCCCCATAGTGACGGCCTGAAAGGAGAAAGAGTGTGTGAAGCAATTCAGCAAGAGAAGAGGTGATCCGCCACAGGCCCTGTTTCTAAGGTCACCTTCTATCAAGGTGACTGGCACAGTGTCAGATACCGGCAGCCACAGGACAGCCACAGGCCCGAGCATTAAGCATGGCACTTAGGTTCTTCCCATAATTTTCCTATAATCTTTAAAGTAGCCCTGTGAGGTCATGAAGGAAAAAGAGGAGCTCAGATAGGTTAAGTGACAGCTGGTAAACGGCATGACCTCAATGCTTTTAGTACACAGAGGACCTAACATGCAGGAGGAGCCCATGGATAACGGCTGAACCACAGTGTCCACTTGGGTGCATGCACCTGGTCCTGGCTCTGCAGACCTGGACTTGTGACACTACCCAGTGCGCCTATCCTGCTGACAGTGGCACACAGCAAACACCTGCATGACTTTTCTAGCACATAGGGTCCTACTCCTCCTCCATTTACTCCCTCTATGTGAGTCTTGTCCTGGGTCCTGGGGAAGCACAGGGGCCGTGACTGTGTAGGCCCAAGGTGAGGGAAGGGTGCATGTCATGTGGCTCACTTGGGTTAGGTATTCAGACCCTTTTGGAAACACAGTTCTAGAAATGCGTTTATTACACATGGTTCTTTTTTTCTAATCTTGTTTACTTTGGGGTTTCTAACTTCTAATGACGAACTTTTTAATGACATTAAGAAGAGCCCCCCATCTCAGTTACCCTTCCAAATTCTCCACGTTTTTCCACACACATCACACCTCATTTGTTCCTAGCTGGGACTGACCATGAAACTCCCCTGGTTTGGTCTTCTGTAACCCAGTATCATAGCTACATTGCTGGAAAGGATCATCACTGATGGCAGCTACTGAGTGAGTGTCCCACAGTCCTAAGCTCTCACATGCAGAGCCATTCCAAGTGTGTATTTGGAGGGTCTCAATTTTGTGTCTTTAAGAATAGTGCTAGGGGCACCTGGGTGGCTCAGTTGGTTAAGCATCTGACTCTTGGTTTCGGCTCAGGTCATGATCTCACAGTTTTGTGGGTTCAAGCCCTGCATCAGACTCTGTGCTGGCAGGACAGAGCCTACTTGGGATTCTCTCTCCCCGCCCCTCACCCACTCTCTCTGTCTCTCTCAAATAAACAATAACAAAAAAAGAACAGTGCTAAAATTCCTGTGTAGACATCACTTTTCCTTCTTTGCAGTGTACTTCCTTAGCCTCTCTAGACTTTAGAGTGACCTCTAGTATCTGGAGACTGTGGCACTGGAAGCCTGTGACTAGGCCATTCCTTTAAGCCCAGAAAGAGACTGACAAATGGGGAAGCCAAGCAGATTCTGTGGGCCTCTTCATTATGTTCATGCTTCATTCATTTGTTCAAAAGTTTGCAGAATGCCTCTTCCTGCTGAGCAAGGAGACAGGATATAGTGGTCTATACAAAAGGATGATGAAGACAGAAGCAGCACTGGCTTCAGAGAAAGGGAGGGATGGGCTGGGCTTTGCCCTGTTCAAGACAAGGGGTGGAAACAGAGGCAAGGCACCCTGGCAGAGCAAATGATGCCATGAGCTAGGAGTGGAACTGTAGCTTCTGACCTCTGTGGATGCTTGCCTGGGCTGTCTTCCTAAGATGTTTGGTCCATCCTTTTTTAGTTTTAAACAGGATCACAAAGTGCCCAAAGTTCCTAGGAATTCTGTTACCATAGCTTACCATAGACTAAAGTGGAGCCAATCATAAAACTGAGGCTTATGGCCCTAACACAGCTGAAAGAGTATCTTATTAAATACTTGTCCATCCTTTGATCGTTTTATCAGCACATTCACTAAATACTTCTCCATCCTTCCTGCTCACCTCACCTTCTACAGCTCACTGGTGTTAGCAGGCTGAATTTTGAACTTTAGGGCCAGACATCTTCTCTAGTCTCCTTGCACTCACATCCTAACCACAGAAGCCCGAGTTCTTCCCCAAAGACACCATGGGTATGGACAGTAAACTCGCTGGGCCCTGGCTCAGGAGTTTACTCCCTGGAATGGAGTAAATTACATCCATTGGTGGGGATGTAAATTCCCAATGGTGGGGAATTACATCCCCACCAGCTGGAATGCTTCTCTTTTACCCAATGCATACACACTCAACCTCCAAGTCTCACAGAATGTGACTGCCGCTGGGGGACCTTGCCTGACCCTGGGGCTCCAGCCAGAATTGCATGCTCCCTCCTCCATTACAGCAGTTACCACACTGGGTTATAGTGAGGGGATGACAGAAGATGATGAAGATGATGAAGAAGAAATAGACAAGTAACACATCTTGTGAAATAGCAAAGCACTGTGCTGATATTACCTAGATTAAAGAAACTGCTTTCTTAGTAGTATATAAATATATAACTAAGATTTACAACTCACAGAAACAGTACCTTGACTTTTTCTTTTGATTCTAATAATCTGACAAGTTGGTTTGCTTATTTATATTACTACCCCACTAAGAAAAGTGGAGTTCATGTTTTGAAACCTACAAACCCTACAGAAAATGTTCTCTCTCTGGTAATTCCCCACCCCCACCCCCAATTGGTTCATGACTTTGGACCATGAAGTGCACCTATAATCTAGGATTACTTACCAGAGGCTTTGTCGCCACAGACTACACAGTACTCTACCACCTGGGGCCGCTGGACGTCAGCCTTCCCCAGCAAACGTTCCACACAAGCAGAGTCCGTGACGATCTAAGAAGAATTGGGAAACAAGCAAAGTGCTGATTAAAAATCAGATCGTTAAAGCAAAGTAATGTTTAACTAGAAATTCCTAATCTTGGGTTTCTAAGCAGGAGAACCTTGGGCAGAACTGGGAAAATCCCACTTGACACTTAGCCGGATATCCAGAATGGCTCTGTTGCTCACCTAGACTATGCCCCTTCAGCTGTGGTGGTGGTGGCAGGGGGTGGGGGTGTGTGTGGTTTGTCCAAGGTCAGACATTGATTTTCACTGGTCTATTCTCCTATCTGGCTAGCACAACCACCCAGGATGGGGAGCCCCACGTGGGAAATCACATGCAGATGCCTCAACATGAAGATACTGCAGGTCTTTCTGGCTGCTTCTCCATTCCCATGAAACAGCTTAGAAGTATGCAGAGAGGTATACTGGGCAGTGAAATAATCAAGCTTTATTAATTAAATAAGTAGGTCTCTTCTTGAGGCAGCTGGTGACCTCTGAACATTGTTATTTCTTCTTCACTTGTACATGACTTTCTAGGTGACAGTGTTACTCATCTGGAAGAATACTGTAACTGACATCAATATGAGAAAGTGAAAAATACCTGTTATTAAATAACGTACCAACCGTAACCCTTAACATGATTTCTGTATGGTGGGAATATATACAGCAATTATATAGAATGACTTCTTAAAAACCATGCAACAAAATCAACAGCCACCTTCCCATGAACAAGGAGTAGTCTAAATAAGCAGCGAAGAATTTTGATTTCAGATGATCAGCATGTAGTCTGGGAAAGGAAGAGGTAGTATTTACTAACTGCATTAGGAGGTGTCTCAAAAGCACAGTTCTGAAAGCTGAACATAATTTGTGTCCTGAACCCAGCTCTATCAGAAGAAAAAAAAAAAAAAATCATTCCCTTTC